AGTGGATTAGGCCCGGTACAGGTGATTTATATCTGAGACAGGTATCTAATCAAGAGAGAAGCAGGAAAATAAAAGTGGGGGATTGACAGTCACTCATTGAGCTGACTGCCGCATAGGGCTATTTGTGCAGGTATATGTGCTGCTGAACCAAGTCACAGTTGCTGCCCATGCCCTGTGACTACATTATTCACTGTAAGAGAAAACTTTGTAGAAAGGTGCATGATAGTGTGAAGTCAGTATTTCATGCCCTGAAGCAAAAGAAGAAGAAGAAGAAAAGACGACGGCAAGGACTAAGACTAATTCTTGAATGTACAATTCAAGGAGTTTAAATTTAGGAAGTGATGGCTCTTCATGCTAACTATAGGTTCCCACATGAAGATCTTAATTTGCTGTAGACTTTAAAAGTAGTTATGTGGCTTGTATTAAACTTTAAATAATTTTACCTTATGATAAAAGAATTTTTGTGCTAATGAAATGTTTAGGTTTCCTATCAATTGAGCAATTTTAGAGACTGTTAGTCTAAAGGTAATTTAAAATTATAATTATTTGTTGGCTGAAATGAAAGCCTTTAAGTGTTCCATTTATTTCAGTGTAAATAAAAGATGTTCCTTTAGAATTAGAGGTTGGAAATAGTTTGTTGAGGAATTGCTCAAAATACCATACAGAATCTCCTTAAGTCAGGATTTTTATTATTGGAAGAAGAGTTCGCAGAGCAGCCTAAAGAATGTGAGGGTATGTATACCTTTAGTGTGAAGGAAAATACATTAACTACGCAGGGAAATATTGTTTTTTCCTGATGTCACATTTCTTTAGGTGTTAACTCTGCGGGTAATTTATATGTGGAAGATGTGCCATACCATACATGATCTGCTCAAGCATGAATGAGAAATACAGCTTTGCCCTGATGTTGTCTCTTGTTCTTTATGGTTCTTTTCCTGAAAGCATGACTATTTGTATGTGTGAATATGTGCACATTTGTGTGGGTAAAGTGATAAAGATTTATAAAAAATGTAATATAGAAATAATATAAATTTAGATTACTTATTTTAGCAGAGTAGTAGTCAGAAAGCTTTGATTAGTGCAAAGGAGATGGCCACAATCAAGGTTGTAGAAATTGTGAAAACAAAAAAAAAAAGTGCTTTCTTATCTATTTGGACATATTGGCTAATGTGGCAGGTATACATTAGTAACTTTGGTTAATACTATACTCCAGAAATATAAGAATAGTAAGAGATGACTTCGTCCATGGTTACTCAGGAGTTTGGGGTCTTAAGATTTCCCTGAGAAATCCTGTGTGCATAGGCACATGGCTCACCAAGTTGTCTCATTTCCCCCTATATTTACATTGATTTTTGCTCATGCCATGCTCCCTTACCCCTCCATCACCTACCCCCACACACAGGTAAAGTTATGAACTGAGGTGCTAAGAACTGCCAGCTTCTATCCTGGTTTTGTGCTAGAGACTCCATATATCCACTCTAAGTTTCATAGTAGTGTTGCTCAGTGAGACTTAGAGTTGTTTCTCTTCTCGGACATTGGAAAATGTTGAGTTAATGATGTGTCATTTTAGTAGTGTCTTCCCCAAAGCTTAGGGAAGATGAAAGGAGAATTTCCAATCTCCACTTACAAATGAACAGGATTGCCATTATTTCTCTGGATGTGGCTTTATATTAGACATTCCCTAAATTTGAATACAGGAATTTAGATGTGAGCAATTTGGTCATGATGGTGTAGGTAAACAGAAGTTCTAGGTGATGCTAAGAGAAGAACATGAAGATAATAGCAACATAGTTTGTTGACAGGTCAAGTCACCAGGATCACTAAATGAATATTGAGCTCTGTAGTTTGTGTCCTATCACGTGCCTCACCATCCCACCACTAGCCTGTCCATGGGATTCAGTGGCAAAGTGGGTTTCCACTACCATCAATAATGGCCTGGCAGAGTGGTTCCTTACGTGGAAGGTGTTAGTTTAATACAATTGTACCATTATCATAGGTGGTTTCCTCTCTCTGGGGTTACAGGTTCATGCTGAACCTGGCTTTAGCTGATGCTGCATTTTGTTGGACATGCCGGGGAAAAAAATTCCATTTATATCAATACATAAAATAAAATGTAAAGGAATATGGCTAAATTATCAGCAAGGAAGTTAACTGAGTTGCTTGAATGTCAAATTGTATGAAATTTTAAAGGAATTTAATATTGCTGATTGTATTTTCTCAGAAGAATAAATGTCTTTTAGCTAAGGCTTCCTCTGAAGAGATAGCCATAGTGCTGCTTCAGTGAATTCCATGGCATGTCCCAGTGCAAAATAAACAGCAGGATTCCCTTAGTGCCTGTGTCTCCAGTGTTAAACACTTCCTCATTCAGACCTTAGCAGGTGGAGATGGTGGCAGACTCAGAAGAGGTGTTTCCCTGACTCAGCCAAGTAGGGAGGTGAATCCAGCGTAAGGTGGTTTAGGAAGGGGTGGATAAGGGGGATTTTGATGGGAGTGGGGTGACTCAGCATCAGAAGGTAAGACTGTGATAGCAGTGGGGAAATAAATATCCTTGAAAGAAGAGCTAAAGGCTTTAGAGCTCTAAGATGGCTATTATTACTGTTTTGTTTTAATTTTATATATAGACGCTTCATGGGAAGAACATATTATGAAAAAAAACTAGGTGTGAATTTCAAGCTTTTTTACATCAAAATAAACTTACCTTTTAATAGCATTTTTGTGAGCTTTTCCAAGCCCCTCATATGTTGTGGACAATATTACAGATTTTCCACAAATAATAAAGATTGATGGATACTATGTCCAATGTAAAGTTTGTGGATTGCACTGATATTTTATTATGATCCAGAAATATGCTGCAAGTTATAATGAGAAAGTTAATTGCATTCAGAATCCTAGTGAGCAGAAAGGTGTTCAGAGGAAGTAATTTTGGAAGAGACCTACCCACAATACTTGTAGTTTTCACATTAAAATTGAACAAAAATAATTTTTATATAGAGAATTCGGACAGACAGTTCTCAAGAGTTGTTTTACGGTTTATTCGTGAAGAGGCTAGTGTATCACAAAGGCATCTCTCTCTGCCCTTATCACTGGCTTCCCTCCCCCTGACTCCAGCCTGCTGTCCGCCCGCTGGAGTCTGGAAGAGATACAACTCTTGAAATTGGTGTTTTCCCCCAAAAATATAAGGTTCTACAGGCAGTTTGGTCTCACAGTCTGACCCAATGACCTTGTAGATCATTGTTCATAAAAAGTGCAATATGAGTTTCAAAAACCAACTTTTAAAAGGAGCACACACTTTTGGACACTAGGGGTTGCCAGGGTGCCAAGCTGAAATGGAATTTCCTATCTCCATTTAAAAATAAACCACGTTGCTCTTGTGACCTTGGACATGGCAGTTTATCTGGCATCCTCTGCACTTGAGTGAAGGACTTTAGATGTGGGCAGTATAGTCATTTACACACACAGTGCGAGCTTGGCTTGTTCTTGCCTCTGCTTGCATTGAGGAGTCACTAGTTTAACATTTCTCCTGAGTTCCAGCAACACAAAGCTAACTGGGTTGATGCCACTGGTCCTTTAGGGTCATTTCACAAGGTGGGACAGTCCCTCTTTCTCCTCTCTGACCCCTTGAGCATCCACTGGAAGAATAGTTGCAAATAACGTTTGATGTGATAAATTACCTGCTAGGTTAATGCACCATGTACATAGGCCATTCATGAAGGTGTTTTAATTAAAGATTTAAAAAAAGGAAAGGAAGGTTTTCTCTAAAGCTTTTTGTGTTTTGTATTTAAAAAGACAAGCATCAAAGTCATCATCCTGGGAAAAATAAGAACTTGGTAGAATACCTTTATACATATTTTAAACTTGGGCAATGTTTTTCTTTGGATTACATATGGGTAGGAGGAATACATTGTAATCTTTTTGATGCTTAGGGCCTATAAGGGTTTCCAGCTGGCCCTGAGTGAGTGTGCAGGGGGATGATGAATTTGGAGACTCCTCCGTCTCCAATTTTGCATGATGCCTCGGTGGCAGCAGCATTGCACCTGCCAGAATGCAGACTAATGCATGAGTCCCTTGCTTGATGCCCCACATGAAGCCAGACCATGGGGAGGTTGCAACCAATTTTTGTTATTGCCTTGTAATGTCTTGCTGGTTCTTTTTTACTCTGTTCAAACTCAGGACTCACTTTTTAGGAGACTGGACACTGTGAGCAAGGCATTTTAACTTGCTGCTTCTCAACAAAGCTGAACTGCTGCATTTGCTTGACTAACCCAAGCCTGTGTCCAGTCTTCTTTGAGTGTACTGTCTAACTGTGCACTCTTTCTTCAGCTTTCTAGATATGAAAAGAGCTTGTTCTGGAGTCGGGTAAGAGCTCACACATCAAGGCAGCAGGACAACTAAGTAGAGCAAAGCTTGGTTGTCACCTTTAGTGCAAAGACCAGTTCACTGATACAGATCTCTGAACACTTGAAGGGAAGTAGCTACAAGACCTTCAGAGTCTTTCTCATAAAGAGCCCTCTAGTGGAAGAGGCCTCTCAGTAATGATTTTCCTCTGGTGAATTAATGTTGTTTACTTTTGAAATCAGTGACAAACTGGGCTACAAAGTCTTCCTCTGATTTAAAGTAAACAACTTAAAATTCAGAGTATTTTCGAAAGTTCATGGAAGACAGAATTAATGTATAAATTTATTTTTGTGCAAAATTTTCCTGAAATCCATGCATAGTTTTTCACATGAACTTTTTGAAGACCTCCTTCCCCTGCTGGTACTCCAGTAGGAATCTTATAAATACCTTCCCAAATGTTAGCTGTTCTGTGTTTCAATGCAACTTTCAATGTTGCATTGTTTCTATTGCAAAGTTTCAATGGAGACTGCCTCTGTGTGAGTTGATTACTTAGCTCTGGAACTAGCATTATTGTCAGATGTTGAACCTTCTGTCATCATCCTCTGATTAATATTGTGGATTTCTTCCCTCCCCTGCTCTTATCTTCTTTTGATGCACTCTGGAAGAAATGTCAAGAAGAGGAGGTTTGACCCTACTCAGCAAGGCCCCATCTGAATCAGCGGCACTGGATGGACACCACCTTGCTCTCTTGAGTTCTGGGTACGACATATTTGCAACAGTGATATTGGAACGTGAAGTCTATAAACAGCACTGGGTGGTACTGCCTACAGGACTGAAGTTGGGGTGACAGGGACAGGGTAAAAGAAAACTGTCGCCTTTGGAAATAATTTCAAAGAACCTCTCCCATCACTTGTCAATAAAGGGGGGTGCAAAAGACCATGTTATAAAAGGAACTGTTTCAGAATCTTTTTTTTTTCTAACTAAAGGAGAAAGAAGCAAACAAAATTAAGTGCAATAAAAGAACCATTTAAAAAATAGCAAATGATTTTTTCCCTCAGCCTGCTGGCACTTAACTATCTTCAAAATGATTTGGCATGATTTTTTTCTCTTACTTCCAATGACAAACTCCAGTGGCATGAAGATCAAATTTTCGAAAGGATAAAAACATGCATGGCATATACACAACAACAAGCTAGCAAGCCAATCCCCAGCAAAACCTGCAATGGAATTCCTAAGGTGAAGAAGACCAATAAACACCCCAAAGCTGCCCGAGCCTCCTCAATGCCTCCCCACTTCCATGTCCCACCCTCTTAATACCACCTCGAATCCCCCACCCCTTGTAATGCCTATACCCCATCCTAGACTCGACCCTGGCAGAACTCCACAGACCATGCTCTTGTTGATTGACTTTCCCCATTGTTTTTTTTTTTTTTTTCTCCTGGACCAAGCATCCTTTGGAAATGGGAGCTGGAATTTGAACAATGATGCTATTGTATAGTTTTTTTTTTTTAAATGTACATATAGAAATAAGAGATTTTGACACATCACTTTCACTTGTCTGTGTTGAAATATTTTTCTTGTAAAGATTCTCTGTAAATTTGAGTTTATTGTTTGCTCCCCATGTGTTTGGCTCCCTTTCTGTCTGTCTTTCCTTCTTTGTCTCTGTCCTTCTCTCTTTTAATACGTTGCACAACGATTGTTGGGCTTGCTTAAGAAAAAAGATGTAGCCACAGACACAGGGAGTTTGGGCACAAAATGGGCAAATGAAAGTTGGTTTATGCTTGAAACCAAATATAAACAAAATTGGGGGGGGGAACACAAACTAAAATAACCCATATGAAAAACAAAAAATGATGTAAATGCAAATGTATGTACTGACAAGTCTAAAGATTTTTGATGTCATTATAAACACATGTATATAATGTAAGAAAGTAGACACCCTCTCAAATTAATCACAAAAGTGCCAAGCTCATTATTTTAGTTTTTTATTTTGATGATTTTCTTTCCCTGTCTTTAATGTGAAAGGAGGATAAACTTCAAGCCTTAAATAAAAAATAATAATTTTTAAATTTTGAAAGCTTGGAAAAAAAGTTAAGCTTTCCATTTTATTTGTGTCTATTATTGTCAATATTTCATTCATGCTTCATCTTCCAGCCTCAAAATCTATATAGTAGAAACCCATTGCCAAGTGGATGGGCATGGAGGTGGCAATGCCTTCATTGCCAGCATTGTCATATTAGGCTTTGAGTCTGTGTCTGGTGTTTTCAAGAAAGCTTGCCCGACCCATAGCGTTTTGCTGACCCATGGAATGTTGCACTGGATGATAATGGGATTCTGCAATATACACAACCATGTTCCATCCAAAAGCAGAGTTGCAAATGGAATCTGGGGTTCCCAAGTCCCTCTGAGTTTCCTTCACTTTCTCCAGTTGCCAGGTAGCTTCTGTTCAAGTGTCAAGTATACAAATTAAATAAGAAATATCGTCCTAGCTTTGTTTTTGTTATCCAAAACTGTTCCCGTCAATGTTTACTTCCTTCAATGCACATCTCTCCTGAGCCCAGCTTGCCTGAGGGCCTCAGAGAGCCCTTGCTTCCCTAACACCTTCATGTTAGGTACAGGATGCTCAGTGCTATTGATGTTTTCATAGTGCTCAATCAGTTGTTAGATTTAGTTCTCAGACCCTTTTCAGCAAGATTCATGACATCAGACTTACAGCTTTTTCTTTGACCTTGGAAAGGATTATCTCCCTAAAAATGCACTGTCCAAAACAGTGGGGGTTCTTTCCCCCAAGGCATCTTAAGTATGGAAGTATTGCAGTTGAAGAGCAGAAAACTTAAGTTCTATATGCTACAATAGACCTGACATCTTAATCCTATTATTGCTTTCTGAGTAATAGGTGCTACATAATCACGCAGTCTTTCTCTAGCACTAGCTCTGTTTATGTTCTAATAATAGGGCTCTCTTCATGCTTTATCCACTTTATTTCTGGCTTCATGAGGCACAGATTGTATCCCTCTACCTAGTGGCAATGGCTTTTTAAGGTCAGACGAAAGTTGGAGGAAACTCAGATTACTTGGTATCTCTTCTTTTTGCTGTATTGCTTAGTGTCTCCCTGTTGCTGACTCCGACTCACTAGGAGATACCAAGCTGCTGCCAGCTACACCATACACATTTCACTACCATAAGCACCACGGTGACTTAATAGACACAAAGCCATGGTGGTTACAAAATATGTTAACTTTTGAGCATTTCACAAACAACATTGTAAATGTGCGATGTTATGTTTTAAATCAGACCACAGTGGTCCCCAAATATTATGTACATATGGCAAATGTCAGTGTAACTTTTCGTTACACTTGCAATTTCATAGGTAACCAAACCTATGCTCCAATGTTGAATTATTTGTGTGTATATGTAAAATGCACAAGCTTTAAGCTTTGTGTATGAATATGAAAGGGAATGCAACCATATCAATCATCAACAAGGAGTTATAATTATTTTTGATGGTATTAGGTTATGTAGTTTCGAACTCTCCTGTTTTTTTCTTTGCACATGCCATTCATTTGCTAATTTCTGTGGTGTGAACAGTCCTTTTTATTCATTTGAGCTCAAAGCACAAGCATATCATTTTATGTGACCCAATAAGAGTTAGTGTTAAGTGATGACCAAGTTCCCATTTCACCTGCCATACTTTTGCTGCGTTAAGTAATGACACCTGGATGAGAAGACATGCGCTAACTTCATTGCTCACCTGGGATAGTGCATGAGCCCACTGAATTAGAGCTACTCTTATTAGATAAATGAGCAGTACACATAGGTGCATGTTATCAAACATGAATCACATAGAGCTGTGGAGTTTTACCAAGTGGTGTGTGTGGTTTTAGTTTTTTACTATGCAAAGATGGAAAATGCACAAACTAATGTCTGGAAAATTTACAAACAATACTTGAACCATTTCTTTAAGATCATCTCATCATGTTTTAAAGTCATTGTTGCTTCCATTGTTAATTTTCATTTCTAAATGGTTTGTAATTTTTAAAGTGCAAAACCTGAAGTTTTGTTTGAAGTTAATAAATTCATTCGTATCTTGTTGGCTGCCTATGAATGGAGATTCAGTAGTCATTGTATGCATCTTTTGGTCAGGTGTATATTAAAACTTTTCTTAATGTAGAATAGCTTTATGCTCTGATCATTTTTAAGCCCCTTTTCTGTGTTCTTTTGTGTTATTTATTAAATGGCCATGCACTTGATATCATCAGTTTTAGCACCAATCTCAGTCAAAAGGTTAATGAAAACTTAAGCAGGCGATGGAGCAAAATAAAACCTGTAATGCTAAATATATTCATGATTAGGGTTTAATTTAATCATGAAATTAAATTAGGAAATTATTTGCTTTTTATGAATCAGAAAACAATAGCACCTTAGGATCATACTGTTGATATTTTTCTTTAGTGTCTCCTGAGTTTATTGACCAGATGGCTATTTCCTCTGATAAATTTACAATCAAGCTATAAAGAAAGTACTGCTACACAAACTATATTATTAAAAACATTCTGAGAAAAGTATTTCCTCATAGCTCACACGGATTTGACCCCCAATTCATATTTCTTCATCACACTTGTTTCCAGTAGGCCTCCTGTCCACCCCCACTGTGGTGCTTTGGTTCAGCCTCTTGTTAGCTTACATACAGATCCAGGTGAGACTGCTCTCTTCTATCATTCCTCTAATCAAGACTTGCAGGGCTGTTTCTTTCTTGTAGGATACATTGCAAACTGAACAACGTGACTTGAAGTTCTGCCTTTCATGGACTGACTCCTGTTTATTTTTCTAACTTCACAAACTCTCATCCTCTAGTTCCTCTAAAAAAGCCACTTATTTCCAAGTCTGAATTATCTTTACACTTTATGTTTGTTCTCTAGAATTTATTTGTTTCGATGCCATTTTATGTCATAAAAATAAACACTTTAAAATTACATGAATATTATACTTAAGGTAGGATAACATGTTAGAATGTCACTTAGATTTGATGTTTAAAGAATGATCTGATGTTTGGATTATGTCATCCTTTAAATCTTTCTGATTTTGAGATTGACATTAAAGTGAATTGTGCTCCATGCTTTCTTGGTAACTGATTGAGAAAGGTGACTCAGGAACCAGAAACTCATTAGAAAATAAAACAGAAGCCCTAGAATTGCAAGTTTGCTGTCAATAATAAAGTAGGTAATCTGCATTCCCATAGTGGACCTACATAAGTCTTACATTTTTAAGTAGGCATCATTTAGATTATATGCAAGAGTTAGGGATTTATTAATCATTAATTTATTCACCCAACAAATATTTATTAAACCTCTGTTAAGAAGTCCTAGAAATGGAAGAAACAAAAAGAAAATTCTTTTTTTTTAATTGACAGGCAGAGTTAGACAGTGAGAGAGAGAGACAGAAAGGTCTTCCTTCTGTTGGTTCACCCCCTAAATGGTGGCCATGGCTGGTGCACTACGCTGATCTGAAGCCAGGTGCTTCCTCCTGGTCTCCCAGGGGGTGCAGGGCCCAATCACTTGGGCCATCCTCCACTGCCTTCCTCAGGACTACAGCAGATAGCTGGACTGTAAGAGGAGCAACTGGGACAGAATCCGGCACTCCAACTGGGACTAGAACCCGGGGTGCTGGCACTGCAGGTGGAGGATTAGCCTATTGAGCCGTGGCGCTGGCCAAAAAGAAAATTCTTGACATGAAGTTGTTCACAATTTAGCAGGAAGAAATATATAAAGAAAAGCATATATTGAGCCCAATGTGATAAGCCAACTGAGCCAATTGTGTTCTACAAGTAATAAGAAGAGACACGATGGGCAGAAAAGAGAGGAATGCAGGAAAACTGAAAAAAGTGAGTTTTGAATTATCTTGAAAGACCCAACAGGAGGATTCCAGGCCCGTGGGGTGAGTACAGCTAAGTGATCCCATTCAGCTTTTATGTCTGTCTATTTGCCCTCTGTTTCTCCCCCTCTCACTCCTTCCTCTTTTTTCTTCTTACCTTTCACACACACTTGATCTATATGAATTCTGGAGTATTGTGGCAGCCCCCAAGGATGCAGTTAACTTTTAAATGAAATGTGATCAGTGCCATAATAGGCATAAGTATAAGGCACTTCTGAAGAAAGAGGAAGGCTGTATGCCTGATCTTGCCAGTGGAAGCAACATTTGAGCAAAATGCTTGTGCGCTAGGACCCAATATAGCAATTCCCTGTACTTATGTTTAAGTATAGGGTTAAACATTTTGATGGGAAGGAAGACCCTTCATATATGTCTTCGAGGTAGAACAATCTGCAATGTTTGGGTGTAATTGTCTACTCCAGATCTCTGAGTGTCTTATGATGGTGTGAAGTATTATTTTTGTTAGGACTTTATAGTTTTAAATATTTCCCACTGATGGACTAATCAGTAATCAGTCTTAAAGGTTTGGGGCTGTCATTAGTGACAAAGAGAGATCTTCATTTTTTTTTAAAGATTTATTTATTTATTTGAAAGACAAAGTTACAGAGAGGCAGAGGCAGAGAGAGTTAGAGGTCTTCTATTTGTTGGTTCACTCCCAGATGGCCATAATAGCTGGAACTACACTGATCTGAAACCAGGAGCCAGGAGATTCATCTGGGTCTCCCAGGTGGGTGCAGAGGCCCAAGGGCTTGGATCATCTTCTACTGCTTTCCCATGCCATAAAAGAGAGCTGGATGAGAAGTGGAGCAGCCGGAACTCAAACTGGTGCCCATATGGGATGCTGGAACTGCAGGTGGCTTCACCTGCTTACGGCATAGTGCTGGCCCCAAGACCTCCTTAACCTGATCTGTAAACCCCTAATGTCTTCTTAGGGTAAAGATTCCTTGCCATTTTCCTTCTGGTGTGAAGAGATGGATAAGAAGGACCATACAGTCCTTTAATGCATCATTGAGAAAGTCCTCCCATTATGAGGGGTCAAAATTTTTTTCCAAGTCCACTTGTACTTCCAATCAACAAAAATCTGCATTTACCTATTACACCTTGAGAGAGGGTTTCCATTCCTCAGCCTTTTAAGAAACCTACCAGTGAGTCTGGCTCCTTGACTAGAATGAGTTCTTCGTCACGGGTGTGACTTCTGCAGGGAGTGGAAACGCCGTGGTCTCTGCTGATCACATGAAAACAGTCATCCTGCTGGGCTGTGCGGATGCTCTTTGCGAGCTGATGGTGCACACACACTTGCCCTGCTGTGACTGTAAAAACCACGCAGAGTCTGCCATTAGGATAACCCTTATCAGTGATGATCACTGAAAGTCAAATTGGCCCAGTAAATCAATTGGGCCTATAAAAATAAGGCAAGACAAAACAAAAATCCTCTATAAGAGTGATCAAGAGTATACTGAGAGTTCTTCAGATCTTTTTAGGGCTTTAAATAGCTTCCAGCCTTCAGGAGGTAAATGAGCTTGCAGCTGAGCTCCTTGCTTTTTTAGGCCTAGGTCTTCAGCTGAAGACACAAGACAGTAACTTGGATTTTAAAAGAAATCATGGAAGCCTATGCTTTACAAGCCATATAGCTCTCTCAGAGATAGTGACTGAAATGTATGCAATCCGTTTAAATGACTTTTTCTACATCATTGAAGAGGTTACAAAACAAGGGTCACATAGCCTAAGGTATGCAGAAGCCAATCAGTTTTCAAAATGAGCAGGACAGGGAAGGCAGGGTAGATGAGTGAGAGAGGCTGAGCTGGAGGACACACACTCTGTCCTCGTGGGAGCAGCTCCTCCGTAGCTCCTGCCAGTTGCACTCTGGGAAAAATCGGACCCATCATTACCCAGTCCCTTTATTTTTTCAAGAGAAGCCATAATTCCAGATTTTGATAGTATAATGTCCTAGCATTTTAACTGTGAAGCCATTCATATTGTTAGAAAAACAGTGGGGGTGGGGCGGCACCATGGCACAGTAGGTTAATCCTCCACCTGCGGTGCCGGCATCTCATATGGGTGCCAGTTCTAGTCCTGGCTGCTCCTCTTCCAATCCAGCTCTCTGCTATGGCCTGGGAAAGCAGTACAAGATGGCCCAAGTCCTTGGGCCCCTCCACCTACATGGGATACCGGGAAGAAGCACCTGGCTCCTGGCTTCAGATCAGCGCAACTCCGACCATTGCAGCCATCTGGGGAGTGAACCAACAGAAGGAAGACCTCTCTCTCTCTCTCCTTCTCACTGTCTGTAACTCTGCCTCTCAAATAAATAAGTAAAATCTTAAAAAAAAAAAGAAAGAAAATAAAAACACTGGGGCTGGTGCTGTGGCATAATGGGTAAAGCCACCTCCTGCAGGGCCAGCATCCCATATAGGCACCGGTTAGAGTCCTGGCTGCTCCATTTCTGATCCAGCTTTCTGCTATGGCCTGGGAAAGCCATGGAAGATGGCCCAAGTCCTTAGGCCCCTGAACCAACGTGGGAGACCCAGAAGAACCTCCTGGCTCCTGGCTTGGCATCTGTGCAGCTTTGGCTGATGTAAGAGAGATGTAAGACCTCTCTCTTTCTCAGCCTCTCCTTCTCTGTGTGGCTCTACCTTTCAAATAAGTAAATAAATCTTAAAAGAAAAGAAAAACACTATGTGTCTCTAGGTGGTGCAAGCAGACATTTTCACCTAAGATTAAGCCTATTGGCCTCCAGGATATAACTTTTACCTAAAATAATAGACCATTTTTGTGCTTGGCCTTCTGTCTGATGGCTCTGATGAGTATACAGACATGGCCTTGTTGCCACATGAAGAGCCATGCAGTGCTCCTCATGAGTTGACATTTTACACTGTTGCTTTGTCAGATTCGAGCCAGCCACTGCAGATCATGGAACTTCAAGGAACGTTTGCCTTGAGATACTTCATTTTGATGGTGCTTAATGTACCAAGCTTATTTACATACATGTGCCCATCAGTAGGAGATGAACTAAACCTGTGTTGTCTCAATGCTCATTCCTCAATGATCAGTAAGGCTTTGTCTCAATGTTCACTAAGACAGTTTAGTGGTTGCTAGGATCCTGCACCATGTCTACTGTCTGATAGAGTGTGCTGTGGTTGATGATGGATGCCTGTTACCTAGCAACCAGTAATACCTGATTTGA